GGGGGAGAGGCCGGCTCGCTTCCAGCGCCCGCCCGAGCCCCGGCGGAGCGGGCAGAGCCCCACGGAGGACCCCCGCCGCCAGCCGGCCGAGTTTAAAGCCCCCCGGGCCGCGGCCCTCGCGGCGGGGCGAGCGGCGGCGGCCGCAAAAAAAAGTTCCCCCGAACTGCGCCCCCGCCCGCCCGAGCTCCTCGCTGCTCCGCCGCCGCTCGCCTTGTTTTCTCGCTCGCGGCTGCCGTCAGCCATGTTACAGCCAGGCGGCTCCGGGGCGAACGGCTCCCGGCCCCACGGCCCGGCCCCGTCCGACGGCGCGGCGCGGCACCGCACCGCACGGCGCGGCCCGGCCCGCACGGCGCCTGCCCGCCCGCCGCGGCGATTGCTCCGGCGCGGCGCCCTAAGCCGCTTACGGCGGGCACGGCGCGGCGCGGCTCGGCACGGCGCGGCTCGGCACGGCGCAGCCCGCGCCCCCCGCCCGCCCGCCCTCACCTCGGCGGCGTTCCGGCCCCGCGCCCCCCTCCTGCCCGTTCTCCCCGCTCGCCCGCCCCGCTCCCCGCGTCCCCGCCGCCCGCGCTCCGGCCCCCGCCCCGGCCGAGGGTCGTCCGTCAGGAAGGGACCCCCGGGCGCAGCCCCTCGCCTTTGTGTGCCGGCTCCCGGCCGCCGCTGCCCCGCGGCCCCTCGGCCAGGCGGCGGCGGCGGCGAGGCGAGGCGGGCAGCGCCGGCTGCGTGCCCGGCTGCGAGAGCGCCCGGCCGGCCCGGCGGCCCCCGGCGCCTACTCACCCGCGTCAGAGTCGGCACGCAGCCTTCGCTCGGCCCCCAGCCCCAGAGACGCCCGCCCGGCCGCTCGCCCCGGCCCCAGCGCTGCCTGGGTCCCTGTGTAGCCCAATGCACCGCAATGGCTGTGAGAGCGGGATCGATACGCAGCCTCCTCACACTCTCGGCGCTGGTAACATTACTCTCAACACAGCCCCGTCCCCATTGGCTGCCGCCAAGCCAGCCGCCGCGCCGATTGGCCCGGGCCCTTCCATTGTCCTGACCAGAGAGCTCCGCCGATTGGGCGCGGCGCGGGACACGTCACTGAGGATTGAAAGGGCGCGCAAATATAAAAGTGAGTGGAGGGAGCCGGGCGGCGGCGGGACGCAGAGTTCTGAGGCGGCTGCTCGGCGCCGCACCGCCGACCGCGAGCGCTGCGGCCCGCCGCCGCCCGCCCGCCGCTTCTGCGGGCCCCGCGCTCCCGAGGTCGCCCCCCGACCGCTCCGGGGAGCCTCCGCGCGCGACTCCGGGGGAGCGCAGAGCGGGACGCGGCGCCGCGGGCGTTCGCGCCTCTCCTCCGTGGCGCCGCCGCCCCCTCCGCAGCCCCGCTTCCCGCAGGCGGACACCGAGGTGCGGCTGCGGGGTGCCGCGAGGTTTCGGCCTCCGTCCCGCCGCGATCCTCGCGCGGCCGCGCTGGGAGCCGGGCGCGGGTCCGACTCTTGCGGCGGGGTCGCCTCTCTCGGGGCGGGGCGCCTCACGCCGGGGACCGCGAGGAGGAGGAGCTGAAGGCGCCGGCGCTCCGTTATTGCCCGTGGGTGGAAGGGAGCGAGGGGGGCTGTCCGAGCAGCTCCCCCCGCGGGCTCCGCACAGGCGTCCCAAGCCGCAGCCAGCGGGGCCCGAGCCCGCAGGGCAGCCGCCGGCCCCTCGCTGCCCGGCCCTCGTGCCCGCCGCTCCGCTGCGCGGGACGCCGAGTGCAAGGAGCGCCGGCCGGCTGCACCTGCGGCGCTACGAACGCCCCGCGGCAATGAGCGGTGACAGGACGGACGCAAATCGCTCACCTTTCCGCAAGGGCTGTTTTTTACCAGTCCTCACCGCAGTAACAAAACGAAACGCCGCTATAAACCCAAAACCCGGTTCTTTCCTCGTCACTTACTGCAGCGGTAACACAGGTGGTAACACTGCTGGAGGATCCACACGGTCCTGAGAAGTGCTTTAGCATTCTAAATGTGAAAATACTGCCAAGCCTTGCTCGACCCCCATCCCTTCTGAAACTTTGTGAAAAGAAGGCCTTAAGAAAACACTCAATTAACTACTGCACATCAGCGTGACCAATAACAAGGCTTAGGTAGTAAACTGTATTAGCCTCTAAATTAATAAAGCCATTAGTTCTCCTTTGATCAGACCATGGCTAATGGCACTTGCTAGCAGCAACAAGGCACACCAGAAGAGGAATCCTCAGGAAGTATCTGAAGTTCCCAACAAAACCAATTCCTCATATCCAAGAGAAATAATGCAGTGTAAGTTTTCATTTAGCACACACTGCTTAATTCTTAATTAGTGAAAATTGCAGCCTACTAACATTAGGCTTCTACAAATGGAAAGTGTACAAACACTGAGGAATTTTTAAAAAATCCCAAACCCACATCTTCGAGTCATAATTGTACTGGTTACCAGTGCAGCCAGGTCTGAAGTCAATAAACTAGCATCCTCTGCTTCCTCTTTCTTTAGACACAAATGCGATTAAAAAGATGCCAGCTGTACTGCTACCAGCTCACTGCAGACGCTTTCACTCTGGGATGGCTCAATTCTCTACTTGTTTGCATCTGCTAGGTGGACTGAATCATTTCCATAGAATCACAGGTTGGAAAGATTGCTTGGTCCAACTGTCCATCACCAATATTGCTCACTAACCACATCCCCCAGTGCCATATCTCCCAGGGATGGTGACTCCACCACCTCCCTGGGCAGCCCATTCCAGTGTCTCACCAGTCTTTCTGGTATTTTTTTTTTCCTATTATCCAACCTGAATGTAATTGCATCAGTATTAGAATGCTATTAAAATTTACCCAAAAGCTCACCTGGCACCGTGGTCTCAAAGAATTAAGCCACACAAGAGGCTGTGGGAGGCTGACTGGATTTCCTATAGACTTACAGTTTGACGATCCTGGGACAAACCTTAGTGCTTGCTCTTCTTGCAGTGGGGTGGTGCTTTTAAATGTCTGTGGGACGCTGCAGCAAACAGCAAACACCTAAAATGAGCAAATCCCTTAACTGAGGCTGCAGGTGCTGCTCTGTCAGAGTTACCAGATGGGATGGAGTATAGCAGCACTTCAAGCTACACACCAGTTACTGGTCTCAGTGTCACTCTGACCTTTGCGTTATATTAGATGATATGGAACAAAAATTGCAGGTTTTTTTCTTCGCTAGTTTACTTCTTTCAACATGCTTTTACACATGGGACTATTAAGTCCCAAGGAAGCAAAATACAGGTTCTATAAAGGCTAAAATAGGTTCTTGTGTATGTGGCTGGCAACACGTCATTAAATGCAGTAAGCTAAAGCTGTTTGGCCTCATATGATGCAAGCCATCTCCCAGTAAGCATTTGAAGACGTAACAGGGCAACTTTATTGTTCAAGAAATACATACCAGGGCTTCTTCTAAGTGTTACCCGAACTTCTCATACTTTTTCTCTGATAATTCTTCTACCCAAGAAAACTCAGATCTCTCTTCACAGTCTTCCTAAGCAAGTGGGACATCCATGGTTGAGGAACAGGCTCCACAGATTGCACACACATTTACATGTCTTCTGATGGAACATTTTAATTTTTCACCTTATTTCCTTAGTTACTCCTGAGTCCACTCACTTCTGTTCTGTTAACCCAGAGTCCGCTGACTTCTGCGCCTGAGCTGCGTGCTGCTGCTTGATTTCCATTACTGCATCCCAGCTTCTTTCCTTCCGTAGCTGATGCTTCTTTTAAGGCACTGCTGGCAAGAAGGCAAACAAATTCCAAATATTCTATCGCAGTTATCAACTGTTTGTCAAGGAGGGGTGGTGCTTTATGGAAGTAAAAAATCCTTCCAAATAATTACCCTAATTGAAAGACTCATTTGCAAGTAAATGCTGATAGATACACGAAAATAGCAGATATCTGAAATCATGTGAAATACATCAGGAGTAAAAAATCATTTTGTCTCCAAGAGGGTTGGTTTCTTTTTTTGGCTAATTTCTGTCTTGAAGTTTAAAATTTATCTTTACACAGAATAAGAATTTATTTGGCCTACTGTGCAGTTTCTGCTAACTCTGCACATCCTGAACTTCTTTAAGGTTTCTTCTGTGCAAACATGACCTGCAGAGGAGGAATTAGAAGCATTTATTCTCAGCTGTTGTCTAGAACCAACAGTTTTTAAAAAGGTGAGTATTGAGGGGATTCTGCTAATGTGACAAGTTCCACTAAAGGTTTCTCCTCATCTCAGCTATTCATATCTTAAGACCTGTGCATGTTTCCATGTTCCATTGGACTTCTTCTGCTGCTCTTGACTACAGAAATAAAAAGAATTTACTCATCAGTTGTAGAATCCTGGTTTGTTTGCTTGTTTTTTTAAGAAGCAGCACATTTCTTCTCTTGTTCATGCCGTGCCACATCTCTTCCAATACTTTATAAATATGCCTTCTTCTGCAAACTCTTCTAAATCAAAATCTGCTCTAAATTACACTCCACAGAACCAGTGCAACCACTGAGATCGCTTGGATAACATGAGCCACCTCAGCTTTCACACCAAGAGGCCTTCATGTTCTAATATCACAACACAATCGCTCTGGAAAAAAAGTAAGTAGCTTCGCAGGAAGTTTCAAAATCCTTATTTAGTAATGCTGATGTTTTGCAAACTAGGGTGCGCTTCAGGAAAAGTCACATGGATTGGATGCTGTATTGCAAGGAAAGAATAATTCTACTATATGTCAATTTTCAACTACTTTGTTTCTTAACAATATCCATTGTAGCTAGTTACTGGACAACTAGCAGAAGTATTTGCAAGGAGCCTATTGGTTCAACTGTTTTTCCATGCAAGGCAGGCTAAAGTTGGATGGAAACATCAGCTATATATTTTCTTTACTGTTTTTCAAAACATCTTTTTTTGTTTTCCATTTTCTTTAGAGTTCAGAGAGAGAGAATCAAGAGAGAGGCTTCTCCAAAGACAGAACCATTCTTCAAAACAGCGTGTTTCTAAGTAATAACAGAAAAGTTCTTACTAAATGAAAATGAAAACAATCTTTTATTTACTTAAACATACACTCCCACTTCAAAACATCCATGCAGATCATAACTTAAGATTTCTAGCAAAGCCAAGCAACAATAGAGAATCCCAAGGAAGGGAACAGAGACCACAGAGACATCTGGTCGACAGTAATCAAGAGACAGGTGCAGAGTTGGTATCTGCTTCCTTCCCAGCTCCCCAGTGACTTTGTGAAGCACACTGATGAGACTCTTCCTAACAGAATTTTCAAGGAAGTCAAGCTATGTAACAGGCCAGGCCTGAGAAAGACTCGGCCCATTTGCACTCTGTGGTTGCTGACAGAGGTGAGAAAAGGAACTTGCATCAACTCCATGAGCCAAAGGAACACTGCAGGATGGGGCAGCACTTCACGAGAAGCATGCTATGTCACCAGCTTCTTTGATAGCTTTTGCATTCTGTGAGGAACACTGCCCACCTACAGTGGTTTTGGCTGGAAGGCAGATGGTTTCATAGCTTGCTTTGACAATACAGAGATTCGGTGACATCAATGGAACTCCAAATTTCGCCTCTGTCCTTCCTACTGAGCAAAGAGATCTTAGCTTCCTCAGGTCAAAATTAAGAGTATATTACTTTTACAATGGCATGACAACAACTAACATGTTAGTCAAACCCAAAGCCACAACTAGGCTATTTTTAATGAGATCTGAAAGCCTTTCTTGACAAAAACACTACATTATCAGCTCAAAATGAGAGCAAAGACTTTGCAAAGGCAGGGCACTCGGCCACATGCACTTATGATAGAGCTGCTGGGGATAGACAGTCCTTTTAAAGCACTTCCAGTCATACAGGAGAGTAGGTTGTTCACAATATGCTCAGAAATAAGTACTACCCGTATTTACCTCTTCCTGAGGCTGCAGTGCCAGCTCCTACACAGCCCATACAAACATAATTCTCTCTTGTCTATTAAACGCAGACTTATAACCAGCATTTTTTTTTCCTCCGTTCCCTTAGCATTACTTCTGGAAGAGATTTCCATTCAAAGAGATGAGACACAGCACGACTGTAAGGAGCAGTAATGCACGGAATGTGCTTTGCTTTACCTTTCTGGCTGGATTTGTTCCGATTGCACAAAGTAATCTGCATACGTTGCCAGCTCTATTTTATTAGTGAGCATTATCTAGAGAACAGGGTTTCAGAAGGCCATGTGTCCTTTCTACACAGATGAGTAGTTGGCTATTCCAGATGCGTCAGTAAACGGTAACTGAGAGAAGTAGCAGCCAAACAAGGTAACCTCGGAAGACTAAAGGAAAATGGTCTGGGAGAAGCAGCCAGGGAGCAGGGATGGGACTCTTACTGCTGCAGCGATTTCCTTAGCAGGCTTCATTTGTGAAACAGCTGATTTTTGTTGACATGTGAGCCCTGCAGACAATGCCATCATTTCTATAGCCGATCTTAAATCGGGATCAGTACTTACACAGTGTTCTCATCCATAGAATGGATAACATTTAAGCTTTGTAAGCTTTTTGAAGAATTAATAGGTACGAAGTATTCAAGAAAATATATGTCATAGCATAGGTTTATGCTCACACTGTTCAGCTCACAGAGGGCAAAACAGATGAAGATGCATTAGTTATAGACTTTTCTCCTGATGATCAATATGCCACAGTGAAAATTGTACATATACACGTTTATAAAGCAATCATTTCACAGTGACAGTAACGGAAATTATGTGAGTCCTTTAGCATCTTATTCCTTACGTATAAGCATGCAACTTCTTTAAGTGCTTCTATGAAGCTTGCAATGCAGTTTCAGATAGGTGGGGAACTGCGTTCACCTCCTGCAGCAAAAGAGTTAAATAAATGTTCTTCCAGGACTGCACAATTTCTGAAATCGCTGACCTGCTAAGATGTTTGCTTTTCTGAGCGCACAACATGCAATGCAACATCCACTTCTCTCTTCCACTTTCTGGAACCAGTATATTGAACATCCGAGTCCTTCCAAAATCTCCAGGCCATTTATGTGACTGCACACTCAAGTCTGCAGACAAGGTAAAAGTTATCAGCTGCAATGTTTGCTTCTGTTGATCCTAAGATGTTGCTGTCCACCATTACAGACAGTCTCCTGTAAAGCTATTAGTACTAGGTCATCCTCAGTCAAGAGGCACAGAAGCCTCTGATGCTGCCACTGCCACTACGCTTCTACACCAGAAAAAAGCAGAATTCAACTAGGCCTAAGGTGATGAAAAATAGTGGAAATCACTTTCCTTCCTGTATCATCCAGTCCAAAACACTCAAAGATATATTCCGTTGCATCTGGGGATCCTTTAGATGCCCTCAATACTACATGTTAAATTGGAGAGATTCCTTGAGCCAGGTACAGGACTGGGACAGAGGTGCTATTATCTCTTGTGTATGTTTTCTGAAAATGCACAACAAGCAAGTGTAACTCTGACCTGTTCTCTCGTCCTTTACACAGGATTCAATCCATTATCTACAACACGGGCTAAACCATCTATTTCTGAACACGTCGCAGGCACTTTAACGCCAGTACAGTCCCTGGTATCAGAAATCCTAGCAGTATTATCTGCACAAGACAGGAAAATGATGTGAATTTATAGGATGCTGATATCCAGAGAAATAGGAGAGGCAGTACATACAGGATCCACAGCAATGCATAGAAACACACTGCATACAAGCGGTTACAGGAATTGCTAGGAGAAACAAATATGAGCTTACAGCTTTGAAAATAGGAACCTGCATGGTTTGACAGAAGGACAGTCTTGCCCTTTGGCTGAATACAGCCAAATATGTATGACTGTCACCGAGAAGTGTCCATCTCTTCCTCGACAACACAGTGCTAGAAAATGAACTGTTTCTCATTTGTACAGAGAACTTTCCACATCTTCAGCAACTTGCTACCTTCCTGAGGAGGCATGGTGCTCAAGTGAGACTCCAAGTACTACAAACTATCAAAAGCAGTCCTTACAGAGTGGTGTTTGGTTACTGTTTTACTGGCAGTCTAGGGTTCACAGTGATCAAACACCTATGGCACGCTCTATTATATGCTGCATTACAGCTCTGCAGCACTACTCATTTTAGCATTCACTGAGTGAATATAAGCAAGCAGTCACAGATTACTGAAGTCTTTACTGTACAAACACTCACTGAGTAGCACCTCTTTCTGGATTCAACTACTAGAACGACTATCAGAAGAGCTAACTGTAGGCTCCACTTTGGGAATAACACTTCCTAAACCCTTTTTTGTCCCCCAACTTTTCTGAAGTTGCAACTGTCTTGATATAGAAAGGGGTATTTAAATGTGATAAAATGTACAGAATGGAAACAATACCACACAGACTTGCCTGCTCAGATGATAGGTTTTTTGGAACAAAGTCTTTAAGGAGATATGACTATCCACCAACCTGGGCTGCAATATGCATTGCAGAGACTGTGCTGCATGCAGCCCAAAGACTTCTCCAAGCTCCATGCAGCATCAGAGCTCAGCAGGGGACACCAATCTACCCCAAATTGTCTTGTGCTACCAAAACCTTAGCATTGACCTTTTGGTGAACATGAAACTGTAGCATCTATTTAGATCACTACTTTCTGAGACCATTTATCTTTCTACTCCTAGTCATCTTTACTCCTTCTTCAGGAGTTTCAGAGGCTTTTAAGTCTTTTACATTATTATTATTATTATTTTCATTATTTATGCTTCCGTGAATTTTAGTTTTCTTGAGACAAATTAAACTCTTTATTAAATATGCCTCAAATTTCACTGAAGGAATGCTGCCAAAAACAAAAGGCACACTCTTCTAGAAGTCAAAAAGCAAGACAGTTCCAAGAAAAAGTCAACATGGTGACCTCAAATTTGTGCCAGACACAAATTTTAAAAATATTCTAACTCAGCTTATTATAGCTGTAATTTGAAATAGCATTTCATTGCAAAGTTTAAATACTGTTGGACAAACTTGCATTAAACTGATCTATGGCACCATTTAAACGGTCTCTGGTTCAAACCTGGTGGTTTCCACGAGGGATAAGGTGGATCTGGGAGTGTGGATTCTCCCAGATGCTGATATACTAACAGTCATCAGGTAGGTCAAGATGCTTCCACCACACAGGTATGAAATTAGAACTCCTTTAAGACAAATTTACCTCATCATTTTACTGAAGCATGAATAAAAATCAAAATGAAGAGCAGCAGTAGAACTTTCAAGAACTTCTTGAAGCTGAGGATTTTAATTGTTTGAAGTCTTCTGTGGCATAATGGTGATTGCTGTTATAACAAAATCCTTGATGCTATCTTATTTCTTCTATTACAGCACAACATTTAGATCATGTAACTGTTCTAGAGTTTCCGAATATAAGCAACTTCACAGAACTAAATGGGTGCAAGGGATGCATATACTCACATCCACTCATTTATTTCCAGTAGCCCAGACAGTCTGTTACTCACGAAAGGTTTGCATTCGATCCTACAAAATTTTCACAAGAAAAAATACATATCATGTTATCCATAGTACTTAAGGTTTTGAGCAGTATCCTTTTTCAAGATGTTATTACTTCTCTCCATCTCCTTAAAATCCTCAGCACAAATACTTCTTTGAAGCCTCTCTTGCACACTCTTCTTCTGCATCAGCAGACCTTCTGAAGCATTTCCATTTTTAATAAAACAATCCACCTTCTTCTGTTCAATAATTATACACCCAAATGTACTGAAGTCATTAAATAGATGTTTATTTTACTTGACTTTGAAAAAACATAGATTCCTCACCATACCAAGACAGGAGTAATTAGTGAAGTAACTACTTCTGTGTATGTGACTAGTAAAATACAATTCTATGTCTCTTTTTTCTTTTTTAATAGAAAAATTAGAGAATGAGTAGAAAAGAGACACAAAAAATAATCCAGGGACGTGGAAAAAAATATAATGAACACCATATAAATCTTTAGCTTTAAGAAAAAAAAATAGTTTGAGAAGTAATCTGATTACAGTGTAAAAGCACCTTCCTGGAGAGAAAACAGTGAGTACTAAAGAGCTCTTTAATCTATCAGAGAAAGGCATAACAAGAATCAATGACTGGAAGCTGAAGGCAAACAAATGCAAATGGAAATAAGGTAGAAAATGTTTAGCAGCAGGAATGATTACCACTTGTATTGTCCCAGTACCTGGTAGCCAAGTCATGGATCAGGGCTCCCTCACACTGGGTGCTTAAAAAAAAAAAGAGAAAAGAAAGAAAGAAGAAAAATGAAATCTAGAAAAGGAAAACAACCCCTGCCAAAAGATTACAATCAGTGCATGAGATGAACTATCATAATAAAATCAATCACAATATCACGCAAAGGACAGGCAACATTTTCAGGGCATGGTTTCAAGGTACAAAGCACTGGGCTGAGATTCCAGCTTAAGGCGTTCTGCCTTGCCAACTGATGGTCCCCACAACTTCTTTACAACAAAGAGAAAAATTGATTCATTAAAAAGAGGTGTTAAAAGCAAGGGTTCCATTTTTTCTTTACAACAAAATGCCAGCGCAACTGAGGTAATTTTGCAAGTGTTCTGATTTTAATGAATTTCAATGAATGCCTTGGCCAAAATTTTCCTACCTGTGTATCTCACTATCAACTCCAGTGCTGTTTAAGGACATTTGAATTTGCTGCTTTGCTTGTGGGCAAAATCCGCATAGCCCAGAGAAAAATATCCAAAAGCAAAGCATGAGGCTGTTTCATTTTCCTCACAGAAAATTGCCAGCCCAGTCATCAAATCTGTAAGGATAAGACAGAATATCAACTGAAATTAAAACCTAGCTCATGGCCCAGAAAACTTCTCTGGGGCAAAGTAAACAAACCAACCAACCCAAATAAACATACTGACAACCCTCCTCCTACCCTCCAAGAAAAAAAAAAAAACACACAAAATCAGCCTTATTATCCTTATCAATTGCAGCCTAAAAGATAAAGAGATCAACTTGTGTTTCCTGATACCACTGCTCTGCCAGTAGGGCCTACACGCCACCTGCGGTAGTTCACGAACACAGGAGGCCACTGCTGTTGGATTGGGAAGAAAGGGGAAACCTGAGAGAGATACTTTTTCTAACGTTATTTTCCATGTATTTTTGAGATCAAGAATCACACGGATTACCCCGAAACTCAGGGAGAAAGCTGAGACACCTGAGCAGTGGCTTCTCTTATTTTCTGTCAAAAAGCACGGATAGCAGAAAGCACCTTTGATTTCCATTTTTTTTTTTTTTTTTTTTTTTTTTAATTGATGCTATTAGCAGATGACAGCAACACACCAAATACCCCCAATGTATCTCACACCACAAAGCCCCTAAAGAGCTCATTTCTAGGGCTGGGAATGCTCAAGAGCAAACAAAAGCAAAAGTAAACTCTCCACAGACAGTCCCTAAGACTCAAGGGCAAACAAGTTTACAACCTGCAGCTTACTTCCCTTCCTCCCCAGCAGACCAGCCTGCTCCTCTTGGTTGATGCTCTGTATTTCACCGAGCTGAATATTCATGTTCAAATGCTAGACAGGGAAACAGTTACAACTATAAATAAAAGCATTCTTTTTTTTCTTTTCTCCTTCCTTTTTAAAAATATTCTAACATGGTTCATTATAGCTGTAATTTGAAATAGCATTTCATCGCAAAGTTTAAATACTTAACAGCTTTAATATTTGGCCTCATCCGTTCTGTTCAAGTTTTCCACAGGACCGCGGCTGCCCTGTGTGTGCAGGACACACGCTGCTCAGGAAATGAATCAGGGTTGTGCATCAAATTAGATTATTTATAGGTTCCTATATGTGTTTGCTCTACAAGTTGTGCAGAGAAGAAGACGGACAACTGCAGGAAGAGAGCAGCGGGCGTGTGGTTAAGGCAGTTGAATGCCACACAGGAACATTCAGTTCTCTCTGCCATAGGCTTCTGCAAAGAAGGAGCAAGTCAGACCAAAAACCTTGGCAGACGGCCACCAACACCGTGTTCCTCATTTTCTGGGAGTCCGAACTGAAACACCTTAGGCCTTGTATGCAGAAATAGAAAGAAATTGGTTAGAATGGCAACTTTGGCTTTTGTGAAAGAAATGGAGCTGGAGGCATGAGGTTAAAGGGCAGCAGGACTCAACTGATAACCCTGACTTCACTGCTGATTGAACAGTTGTTTTCTCCTTTATAAAGCAAAACAGCAGTGCTTCTCTATTGTTCTGGGAATATGCAAAATGTTGTTAAATACTTCAGAGTTCTTAGAAACAATTTTAATACGCCTACAAAAAAAAAAAAAAAGAGGTATTCCTGATTTTCTATATACAGAGAAAGTGTTGGATATTTTCATCCACTAATTTTCCTACCTTGATATATGTTTGCATTAAAAAGTCTATATGATATAAATACTAACACAGGTAGAGACAGAGCATATCCATTTTTCCCCTCGAACTCTATTTGCAAAGTCCTTCCCAGTCCATACTGGGGCTATCTAACCTTAGTACACAATGAAACTGTAAGATTCCTATGGAATAGGACAGGAACAGCAACCCACGTAGTTAAAAGACGTTATCCAGTTCACAAAAATAAGCAAGTCTTCACTCTCGGCTGTAGAGTATGACATGTAACTGCATCCACAAAAATAGAAAAGCAATAGAAGAGCTAGTAAAAGTTACTGTTTTTCCCGCTTATTTTACTGGTCTGCATCACAGAATTATCATCATTTTGAAAGCCCGTAGTTATAGTAGGCTACTAAGAAAATAGCACACTGCAAAATAACAAATGTATTTTGTGTCTGAAGAACAAAAAACAAATCTACCAACATCTTTAAATTGCCCTGAATAGAGTCCCAGTAGTTAACTCCAGAAGCTAAGGTAAAAGAAACACCACAACTACTGAAAACACAGGTGATTGCCTCCTCCATTTTAAGTAGGAAGACATGACATGTAAAAATGCAACACTAATCACATCAATCCAGAGTTTTTGGTACATGACACAACAGAAATGTTTTAACTGTCTGACAATATTCAGGGAACACTGCATACAAATGGTACGAAAGTAGATGTGCCAAGTCTCAAAAACAATACCACCTTAAAGGACAACTATCATGAATTAGAAGCAAGTAGACATGGAAACAAAATACAAATTTGCCTAAAGTCAGTTCTTCAGAGTAGAAACTTCCAGGCACTCATGTTGCATTAACTCAAGCAGGCCCCAGGGCTCTCGAGGTCCATTTGACCAGATGCAGAATTAGGGCCTAAATACGCAAAGAGAAAAAAGATGAATCAGGTGTCATAGCCCACAGCTGTAATCAAAGAGACACCAAACTAGTCCCAGGAAAGCAATATAAAATTCACATTTTTGCCACAATATGCTGCATTCAGCTACAGAACGTACACCAGGAGGTTTATATAGCATTACCTGATGGCAGTAAATTCCCCTTCAGGCAAACGTGAGTACCTGCAGTGCTTGTGCTCACCTCCCGAGTACTGCTGATATTTTTATTTATATATAATGTATTTTATTATTTTAAATAAATGACAGTGCTGTACAATCAATAAAGGGGATATTTTTATATTAATCACCAACACCTCATTACTAAGCGTGTAGATTTTTAGCTTCTTAGTAATGCGGTGGCAAAAACTAAAATGAGGTAATCTTACTATATTTTAAAACACTGTAAAACTGACAGAACACAATATTAGCGCTATAAAAACACTCACTTCTGTGCCCATCTGAAGGCTGTGAGAAGTTCTAGCTTGGCAGTGAGTTAGATGAAGTCACTTTCTGTGCTCCCTGACATACTAATAATAGCCCACGGTAGCAAACACCTAGTCTGATATACAACTGCCAGTGGGAAAGGGCACTATCTCAGAAAAATACCTACTTCGTAACGTCTTCTCACACTGAAACATATAATGGGAACGAGTAACAGCAACAGTGAATATACCACAGAAGTACCAGATTAGGATGGGCCACTGGCACAGAACCATGGACTATATACTCTGATATACCATGCTGTTCTACATTCAGCAACAGTGCTCATCATCCAGCATACAAGGAAAAGGGAAGGGGGGTTCGTGCGTTCTTGCTACCTGGGACCTTCCTGTATGTGCCTGTCAGCTCCAGAAGGTGTAATGGTCTTCAGTCTGATCTGCAAATTCATGAAGCTCATCAATATAACCACATCTCTACTGTTACCAACTCTACCTGATAGCAGATTGACATTGAGGTTGTCCAGGAGTATAATACTATTCTTTCCTTTAGTGTTACAGTTATGCCTTCTGAGATCAGCATGTAACCAGGCAAATTCAACAGAAACGTACCTTCTGTCCAAATAAAACATTCAGGAGAATCAGCTACTCCTGGTTACTCCTACATCTCTTAATAAGTTTAAGACAGCTCCTTTCTATGAAATAAATTACTAAGTAAAAAAAAAAATTCCAAGCTACATGAAGATACAGACATCTGAAATTAACTGAAAGAGATGCTGATTTGTCTGTATCACTGATGGAGAGATAAGGACTCATTATTTCTATTAGGAAAAAAATCTAAACAAAAATACATCCACTAAGCGCATCAACATTATGACACCCACTTTGCTGACATCCAGCACTGACATTGCTTGGACTGCTTACGTAAGAGGAAACTGATACACATACAAGAGAGATGTGATTTCTGGAAATTGTGGAGAATGCAGTGTTTTTGTGCTGATTGTGTTAGCTCAGGATAGAGATAAAAAAAAAATCTTTATTTCCATTTTAGTGTTGAATTGATACTTTTATGCCATATACCTGTCACAACCTATAATGCCACATTTAGAATAGTTAGATTATGATTATTTTATCTCAAGACAGGTATCTATCTGGCTGTCCCTCAGTAAGCACACGGTGATAAGGGAGCACGGGGTTCAACAGAAGGAAACCTGACCTCCAGCACTGTCTCTCCCCACACAGCTTCTGCATCCCACAGCTGGCATCAGGCAGCATGCACTGATTGTGCTGTTTGCCACTGATTTCTGGAAGAATAAGAAGTGCACTTGCTCAGGAATTTGCATGCAACAGCCTTACCTGCCCACCACTGCTCGCCCTCTGAGTAACCCAAAATTATTGAAGGGCTATTAATATAAAATTCCTTTGCAAAGGGTCACATTTCTGAGTACAGCAATTTTTCAATTTAACTTCCTGGAGCATACTACGTATTTTAATACTTCAATCTGGACACCTGACAAGTATACACTTAAGACACTATTTCTTCTTGCTCTTGCAAAAATGCATTATCAGTTTATAGTTCCAAAGCTAGCAATCTGAAATGTATCTATTGTTGAATGAACAAGAAAAAAAAAAAGTCATCTCTTTTTTGAGACAAGATCAGAAACAATTCTAATTCACATCCATATGCTTCCACGGTCATAAGACTACAGCTGAAAATTAGCCAAGTGCAGATATTAATTCTCTTGCCCTCTCTCTGCTGTACCATTTGTCTGTGAGTTTAGGAAATGCTGAAGGGGAAGGAAAAGGATCATTGCAGTTGGTATAGGACCTTGCTATAAAGGCCTGAAGCAAACTGACAGCTTCCTCCTCCTGAGGAGAAATTTGGCATGACCAGGCACAACCAGAAAAAGGAACAGAATCAATGAATTGCTGAAGCTTTACTGAACTGCTACTGAAGTACTACAGAGTAAAGTTATTAGAAGACTTCACTTAATAATTCAAATTTAAAAAAATTCTGTATATAGTGCCCATTATCACAATCAGCCAAATTAAAAAGATCAGTTTCTCCACTGCAAATACATGATATGCCATCCTATGTTGTTCATCCCACTGGGGCATTTCAAATAAACTACACAACTCAAGCCCGTTCTGCCTGGCAGGTGGACTACATTCTGAGCTACATTATTTGGGAAGCAATCAGATGGGTGAAGGACCCCAATCAATTAAAAATACAATTATATCAGGTGCTAGCTCTTTAAGGTTTTCATATGAATGGCTTAATTGCTAGTGACATATATGCAGCTGCAGAGCTACTACATCACCCCAACTACTGCAACGTTAGCACCATCTCAGGCCCCAAATGTACTCCACATCCCAAGAGTCATATTCATAATTTGCAGATACTTTCACTGTAACATTTACAGGACAATACTTTTCTTAACTCTTCTTATCATCTAGTGTATTCAATCAGATTATCATCATCACCACACCATCTTGATTTGGCAATATCTCTCTGTGCTTTGGAGAAATGCAGCCCGATCTCACTTGCATTCACACAGAATACTGTTACAAAGTCCCTTTTCCAAGTCAATCACTTGGAGAACATGTCAGTGCCTCCACAGCTCTCCTCGGCTTCTCTGTTATTTGTCTTCATTTTCAAGGCCCTTCCTGGCTTATCACTACTGCACCTATTGTTCCTTAATCATCATCAGGAAGTCTGCTGTGGAATGTTTGTAGTTGAAGCTAGGCCAATTTTCATAAAGCATAAAGCTGAAAAGATCATTAGATTACACTGTTTAAATCACTTATGCTGTGCTTGTCTAAAACACTTTCCAAAACCATCACACTTTTATTGGAAAAAAAAAACAACCAGATTTGGAGCAGGTACTTGTACTTCTTCCCTTCATATCTCCCACCTGCCAGCAAATATCATGAGTCGAGATTCCAGCTCCTCTATCACCCACGTTATATTTTCAAACAAACCTTTTATGCTTTTTTCCATTTTACACCTTAGGGAAACTCCCTTAAATATCTGAAAACGTACTTGGTAGCTTTTCTTCACAGCCCTCTCTGAAATTTACTCAGATGCCCATGAAGTACCTTCCCCTGTGCCTCCAAACAAGCAGTCACACTACTATCTATGAGCAGTGTTTGCCAAGAAATTGCAAGAAGGCATATACATCCCACCTAATTTTAAGTATGTAGACAACTATCAGATGTAGGAGACAGATCTTCCTGTACAGTAAATGGAAAGACTTCTGTTGAAATCAATTTCCATGAAGGAATGCCTCATATGTTCCAAACTGTCCTCCAAAGAAGTCTTTTTACAGTCTATTTATATAAACTGGGAAAAGCCTGTGGAGAGCAGCCTCTTGATTTACATACACAAAGAGGATGCCCTCAATTTCTAATATTTCCCTTCTCATTGGTGTATATACTACTTTCAAGTGTACAATGTTTACACTGCAAACTTCTAGGAACGTAGATATTCTTTTCAACACAAGTTGGAACTTCCACACCCAATTAACATTCTTTTAATCCATAATAATACAAAAACAATCTTATAATACTATACAGTATTGTATTAATTATATGATCAGGTACTGTTTATCACATAGGTAAACATACAAGCCATGTAGAAAATGCACAGTCATGCATCAACTTTGTGATTTTCTAAATTCCTTAATGCTACCACAAAGAGCTGGAATGTGTTCACAGCTGGCATCAGTTGGTTTTCTCCCTATTCTGAATGATGGGCAAATCCCCAGTACAATTCAAAACAGTGAAAGAGAAAAGAGAATGAAATATGGGAGATGGGAAAAGATGGGAAGGTATATATATGGATCCAGGATGCGTGCAGAACTTTTGGCAAAGAAAAGGGGGTCGCTGGAACAGAGCATGGAAAGTCTTGTCATGTGAGACACAGATGTTGTAAGCAATCTTCCGAAACAATTGATGAGAGAATGGTAAAATGCAGGTCTCAAAGTTAAGAAATGTAAGGAGACCCTTCGCATATGCAAAGAGTTCATGTCACACAGTACGTGCTTTTCCCTCTTAAACTTACTGGACTTTAAATATGCCCTATTAAAAATGAGATTTCAGTTACAGAAAGAAGGTCTTTCAGACCAAAATAAGGAAGCAAAAGCCCTAGATACATTTTATATGCTCTCATTCTCCAAAAAAGCATGTTTAGTACTGGGAAAAAATAAAAACATTATGAAGAAACAATGCGCTTCAATAAGTTATTAAAGCAAAATAGGAGTCTTCCAGACAAATTTGGAAATCTAATTCAAGTACAAACAACTAGCAAAATTCAGACCAGGCATCATGTACAAAATAACTTGAACAGAATAATTAATACTGCTGATGATCTAGTTCTTGCTCTGGGTCTATTCATCCAGATAACCATCCTTCTTTGGAAGAAAAGTTCTTCCAAAGCCCAAAGTAGAACTATTCTCCTTAAGCAAGAAAGCAAGCAAACAAAAACACCCCTCAGACATAGACAGTAAAAGAAGAAACAAGGTAAAATACTGGATGAAATGATTTTCATTATAATCATTTTTATCAGTGGCAAAGAGTTAACTTCAAAGTGTCTCAAAATAATGGTTTTGTTCTTCTGTTATGGCATCAATCATCTTGAAAGTGGCACGCGTGAGTAGTATTGTAATTAAGTTGCAGCTATTTAGGCTACTCAGAATGAAGGAAAACAAACTAAAATGAACAACAGGGCCACAAAAATGCCAAGTCAAATTGGAATAATGATACATAACAAACACATACTAAGACAGAAAAAATAAAAGAGAAAATCTGTTTTTATGGGGCTTCAAATTAACAATGCAAGAGAAGGAAACTCAGCAACATAAAACTCAATATATTAGGCTAGAGAAAAGCAACAGTTACCTACAACATCTCCAAGTTGAGTTCACTCAGTCTCTTATGATGTGCACTCAAACGGTGTGGCCTTCTTTTCTTGTGTGGAAAAGAAGGGCCGTCAGCTACTGAGAGGCTTTACCACACATCAGGAATTGCTCTTTGTTAGCAGTAACAAGCTAGATTTTTGAGCAGGTCCTTTAGGAATCATCAACTATGACAGGATAGTTTTCGCCTCAGTATCTTGCTCACCACAGATCTTAGGCCAGGTTGCTGCCCAGTGTCTGTTTTCCTCATTTGGAATATAGGTCTGAAATGCACTTCTGCAGTCCCTCCTCGTATCCAGAAAAAGAACAGCACACGAGTTACACTACAGCCTTGCTGCCATCCTCCTGATGTTAGGGACACAAGGTCTTCTGCTGGCAAATGATCTGTGCTGTGGCACACAGACACTGCTGAGAATGGTGTCCTGGAAACCATGCCCTCCATTATCAGTCTACGCCATTTGATTAACGCTTTATATTGTTTTTTCTATACACTTACACACATTTCCATCCACACTGCATTCACATCAAACTTAACACTTCTGTTACAAATCTCTGCATAATTTTCTTCTCGTTTAATCGATCTGATGCAGAACACTGCGCAAAGGACACATCCCATACTTCTACCTCCTCCTTCCTTTGCTATGTGCTCCTCTGTTTTCCCTGCAACAACAGCAGTAGCCATTGCTGGTAAGCTTATCCAGGAAGCAAAACCAGTAGAAAAATCAACCCTTTTTTTGGTGAGATTTTTTTTTTAACAGCATAGATCCATGAACTGGATCACTGGGATAGTAGTCAGCACCAGGTGCAAGGGAGGAAACTAAGACTGCTGCTTTTTAGTGGATGCTGTTCATTAGATCACTAAGCTGCAGTGTGAAAGAACACCAGATTCCTTGACCTCAGGAAGGAACCAGGGCACCACTTCAGCACGTCAGTGAAAATTTCTGCTCAATCAAAATAAAAATAAGAAAAGAGGCTGCTCAAACAGTGGAAAAGAATGAGTAGAAAAGGCGTAATGGAATTATAGTAATCACTCTTGTGACCTTACTAGAAAAACTAAAACATATGCAGTACATGTCTCCCCCTCTCCAAAAGGATATGTGAGAAGTGGAATGAGTTCAAAGATGAACACTGATAAGGACTGGGAACACCTGAAGACAAACTGGGAAGTTTAAACTGAAGAGTGTTATGAACAGACATCATCAGGTAACAAAACCTCCAGAGAGGTCCTATCAGATGCTGCTATGCTTGCTATCTTACAATACAAGAAAAATACCAAGAAGTTTTTGAGGTATGGAAAATTCAAAGCTGGCCAGAATCACATCTGTAATTTATCCATGTTAATTATCAAGGAGATTGAAAGTTATTAATATAAATTAAATGTCCCTATC